TTTTTTTTTTAATATTTATTCCTAAGTTTTAGGTGGACACAATATCTTTATTTTACATTTATATGGTGCTGAGGATTGAACCCAGTGCTATACCACCTCTCTGTACTTGAACTTCACATGAGAAAGCCACTTGTTGCTGAGGAAACAATTGTTGAAGTGTTGGGGAAAGTATTTTACTCAGTAGTTTTTTAAATACTATCCCAGACACAGAGCTCCTTTCTGGGATTGGGGTGTTCTTTGACTAGATTGATGACCCCTAGGGTCCCCACAAAGCAGTTTTTCACTCTTCCTAATGATAATGGATGCCAGGCTAGGAGTGACCTTTTGCTGAGTCCATTATCCATCCAGCTGGAGAAACCCAAGCCTGGTTTCCTAAGCAGGGAAAAGGTTTTCAGCATTTCTGTGGAAAAGGGAGCTGAAGCCATTCCAGGGATTCAGTGTGATCAGGCTGTGCTGAAGGGCCAGAAGCAGCAGGAGGGCAGCCTCTATCTGGACCTTCTTGCTAAGGACCTTTCTTGGGCCTCTTTAGAACTACCTGCTCCTTTCTCCCAGCATGGATGAAACTAGGCTTCAGTTAATCCTCAGGCCAGCAGATTGAGGGGAGTGCCCATGGTTGCCGGTTTCCCAGTCCTAATAAAGGATTCAGAGTGCTAAGGCATAGAGAACAAGGGAGCAGGAGTCTAGAGACCAGGGTTCAAGGGCTAATGACAAGGATGGAGGTATGGCTCAGTGATAGAGTGCTTCCCTAGCATCCTTAAAGCCCTGTTCCATTCCAGACCACACAAACATACACTCACTCTCTCACACACACAACAAACAACAACAACAAACACCTCTACCAATTGCTAATGCAAACTTGCAAGAGATCTCTACTAAGGCACCTCTCTTCTCTTGGCTCTCTTTTTTCCTATGGGAGGTGGGATTAAATTATCACCCCCAATTACTTACCGGGTCTCTGGGATCTAGAGAAATCAATTGACTTCTAGATCTTGCTCTCTGAGGTTGGTGTCAGCTAGATCTCTGGCAGAGAGGGACATAGGGGAAGGTGATTTTGGTGAGAGGTAAAAGGCTTTAAAAGACTTTCCTGTTTTATTGCTCTCTGTGTGTGT